CGCACTTTAATTTCTTACTCTCTTTTTCCATTTGAATGCAAATTAAAGCGTCTTTTGTTCCTTCTCAACAACAACGACGACAAGAATCATAAATCATTGTTACAAGTTGAGAAAGAAATTCATTTCTCAAATTTTATTGTCCATTTATCTGTATTGGTTTCGTTTTGATTATTTGTTTCAAAGATTTTTATTTTCTTCTTCTTTCTTCTTTTTTGGTGGTTTTATCCTATTTTTGAGAATGTTTTCCATTTTTGATTTTCTGTATTTTTTTCCTCCTTTTTGTTCTGATTTCCATTATTTATTCCTTTTTTCATTATTTTTCCTTTTTTTATTATTTATCTTCATTATTATTTGTTTTATTGTTATTTTCTTCATTGTACATCATCTTCTTTTTTCCACTTTTCTTTGTTTTTTTTTGTTGGTTTGATCCTATTTTTGAAAATGTTTTCCATTTTAGTTTTTCTGTTTTTTTATTTCCTCTCTTTTTGTTCTGATTTTCATTCTTTATTCCTTTTTTATTATTTGTTTTATTGTTATTTTATTCATTGTACATCGTCTTCATTTTTCACTTTTTTCCACTTTTCTCTGTTTATTTCTTATTTGTTGGTTTGATCCTATTTTTGAGAATGCTTCCATTTTTGATTTTCTGTATTTTTATTTCCTCTTTTTTTGTTTTAATTTCCATTATTTATTCCTTTTTTCATTATTCATTTTGTTTTCTTATTTATCTTCATTATTATTTGTTTCATTTTTTCGTCTTCTTCCTTAATTTCTTGTTTTGCTCTTTATATAATTTTTTTAATATCGAAATTTTGTATAATTGAAAAATTTTGAATTGCAAAAATCCTGGGGAATCGTCCCTTTTCTCCATTAATTTTTTTTTCCTGCCTTTTTTTGTTAGTTTCCTACTGGAAATTTGTTGTATAAAAAAATTAAAAGAAATCCCACAAGAAAAGAATAGTTATTTTCGTATCAAGGGCGCAAAATAGGTGATTGTGGCGAAGGCGAGATTAGAGAAACCAAGGGGACCCGAAGCGCCCGAGGCGAAGCCGAGGGTGCGTAGGGTCGCCGAGGTTTCTTCATAATCTCGCCTGAGACACTATCACCTTTTGCGCCCGTGCTGCGAACAACATTTTTTGTCCTGTCTGCATGGAAAGTGTATTATTGAGTGCATGCAAGTCCGCTTGTTTTAATGTTCCATCAGGGTTGGGGAGATAATATACTTAAGGTAAATTACATGTAGTTGTTTACGTATATTACGTATGTTTATTATGTCACAAAAAATGAAAACAATACATTTTTTAATGGTGCGGGCGCGAATGTATTTTGCGCCCGCTTCTATGACGTCAGCGGGCGCGAATGTACTTTGCGCCCGCATCTATGACGTCAGCGGGCGCGAATGTACTTTGCGCCCGCTCACCCCATCTCTGGGCGGGAATCACTTACTTTGCGACCGCCTCAAGTGCACGAAATAACACACTTTCCGTGCAGGTAGGACAAAAAAATATTTTCTTATTGCGATTTTAATCAATTGATATGAAGAAAAATAGAAATTTATGAAGTGAATAAATTAGTACAAATTTTTTTTTCCCCTCAAAGGAATATTACAGACCCATTTAGTTTCTTTTCCATCAATTTCTATCATTATTCTATTCTGTATATATATGTATATACATAAAGAGAGTTGAGAAGAAGCACATGATAAAACAGCGATAAAACCACATAATGGCTTGTGTCTTCGTAATATCGCACAGTCATTAAGAAGATGGTATCCACACGATGTTCTTGTTGAACTCTTGATGTAAGCTTACTCTCCCATCGGTAAAATCCAACAAATCTTTTAAATGCATACACCAGACTATATAATACAAAATATCACTTTTACGGTCAGAAATAATAAAGTCATTCTCGCTAATATTTCACAACTCGCACATACATACGTATATGCCAAGTACGCATTCATCAGTTACTTTTCAGTGTGAAAAAGAAAAGGAAACTCATTATAAAAAGTGTTAATTTCATTTTAATGCATTACACTTTTTTTTTAATAAAAAAATAAGGAAGAAATTCCATATATATCCCTATTCGATTTTAATAAAAAATAAGAATAATTTTAGAAATTATTTTTTAAAATATTGAAATTGATATAATGGAAATTCAATTAATTTTTTACTTATTATTACTTTGATTATTTACTATTTATATTATTTTTTATAATTTTATTGTTTAATAAAAATAGAAAATAATTAAATATTGTTGAAAATGGTTACTTTTACAGTAAATTACGGGACTTATTATATATATATATAAGGGGGAATGGCTGTCATCTTCTCGTCAGTGAAAAAAAAGGCGTAAAATTTGTTTCGTATGAACAGAGACCGGAAGTTAGGAACACGAGGGTTTGGTGTCAATGCCACGAAATTGCTCGAGACCTTCGCTCTGGAACGGGAAGCGCTAGGTATGTGAGAACTTCTTCGCCTTCTTCTTCCTCTTTTCTTTTTTCTCTCTCTTTCTCTCTTTATATATAAACCGTCTTCCTAAGTTCCTGAAAAGCGTGTCGGAACTGACGTGAGAATCATTAAACTCGATATAAGATGCTGTGTAGGAATGAGACATTCAATTATGAAGCAAAAGAAGCTTTATTCAATTACAACACCAAAGTTCCATATATACAATTATGAAAAATTATTTTCCGTTAAAATAGAAATAAAAAAAAGATAATTTATAAAATATTTCGAAATATAGGAGATCCTAACAATAAAATAAAGAGTTTTATCACCATTACTAAGGTACGAAATGCAATCTTCGGATTCAGAGAAAAGTTTTACAAAAACCTTCTTGAAAAAAAGAAATTCCTAATTCGCATCACTTCGCGATTTGATACCGCGAAACTTGATTTCCAGAAGGAGAGGAGCAATAAAATTGTTTCCTATTTCGAGAACGAAGAATTAATTTTCAATTTCGATTCGTGAAAATTCTTTGAAGATTTTTTAAATTTTGCTATTCAAAAAAATTTGCTTTATTGAATACAAATTTTATAAATATACAGAAATTGTTAAATAATTATATTTTATTATTTTAAAAGCAACTTTTTTTGTACATTAAATCTGAATAATAAAAATTGTGATAGTAATAGTAGTAGTAGTAGTAGTAGTAGTAGTAGTAGTAATAGTTTAATTATTTTTTATTTTATACTTTATTAAAGGGTGTCGTTCAAAATTTATTTTACTGCAATATACACTTGCAAAGTATGTAGATGGTTAAAAAATTAACAATAAGGGACAACAGTTTTTTGAAAAATAAAAATATAAAAAATTACCAACCTAGAAATCTACCTTACTAACTGATGGTAAAGAATTTTTTTTTGAAAATGCTAATATAAAAATTACCAACACAGAAATCTACCTTACCGACAGATGGTAAAACAGGGATATTAAAATGCTAATATAAAAATTGTCGACATAGAAATCTACCTTACCAACTGATGGTAAAACAGTTTTTGAAAAATAAAAACATTAAAAATTGCACACCTAGAAGTCTACCTTACCGACTAGTGGTAAATAATTTTTTTTTGAAACTGCTAATATGAAAATTACCAACATAGAAATCTACCTTACCGAATGATGGGAAAACAGTTTTGAGAATGTTGATAAAATTTAAAAAAAAATTCTTTATCATCAGTCGGTAAGGTAGATTTCTGTGTCGGCAATTTTAATTTTTTTAATTTCCAAAAATCTGTTTGCCATCAGTCGGTAAGGTAGATTTCTGTGTCGGTAATTATTTATATTTTCATTTTTAAAAAACTGTTTTACCATTTTAACCGAAATCTTTTATTTGAAAATTATTTATTTTATAACTAAATCTTTAATAAATTCCGATAAAATGTCATTTAAAGTTGAAAATATCCCCAAGGTTTCGGTCACTGTACCCAAGTGGCAATTTTCTCATCACATTCAATATAATATAGAAATTAATTTGATATGATAAAAATTTTTCTGTTCCCGAATGAAGAACTTTATAAACTTAATGCGCGCGCAATTCGATTGATTATTATAGAATATAGTCTTCTTTTCTGACGTAATCAGTAACATGTTGTATAGAAGAGGAAAATCCAAAGACCATGTCATGCTCTTTCATCTCTTCTTATTTTCTTCCTTAATCTACCACGAACACGATCTCGCTTCTCACGGATTAGTCGACGTGACGATCATTACCAGATCGCGCGAACGCCTTTACGTTCATCATCAGGACTCCAATATAAGAGGGATTCAGGATCAAACTGCGCGAGAAAGTCAAGGCCATTGCACGCAGACATTTTTGTTGTCTATAAATTTTTTATAGAAATTTCAATTTTTTTTTTCTAAATTCTTTGCTTCTTTCGCTTTATATTCCTCACGTACACGTCAATCACGATATAGGATGTTACTATTAAATTCGATCGAAATTGGAGAAAGTTCATGACTTCTTCTTTTTCTTCTTCAACTACTACTTTGTCGATAAATAATTGATTTGCAAAATATTTTATGAAGATTATATATTTATATATATAAATTTCCTAGCTATAATTAATTGCTCGCTTTCCTTATAATAATCTTCATCAATGCATTAGAATTAATTCAGATCATTTTCAGAGATAGGAAGTTATCAGACTAAATGTGTAATAATTATAATCAGTTTATGATAAACTGTCAAGTATTAAAGATAAATGTTAAATCTCTTTTATAGTATGGTGATGAATTGTTCTTTTCTTCAACTACTGTTCAAGGGGAGATAATTAAAATCACATTTATCAAATTTTAATTTCTTCCATCAAGTATTAAAAAAGGTAATAAAAAGTATATTTAAAAAAATTTGAAATTGCATGAATTTACGAAACGATAAAAACAAATTCTGATTTCTTTTTTAATTAAACATATTTCAACATTTACATATAATTTAAATGCAAAGAATTCAGAATTTGTTTTATTTAAATATTATTTTCAAGGTATTGTAAAAAATAATTTTCTTCCAAAAAATTATTTTATTTGAAAAATTATTTCATAATACAACATTGATCTCGTATCACATTTTCTTTTAGAACTTAAAGTTAATTTTCCATTTGTCAGTCAATATTCACGATTCTTTCTTCAATATTTAAGAGGAATAATCATCGAAAACACCACCTTGAATTAAATCAATACAATTATCGGATATATAAACAAAACTCGCTCTTGATTTTGGCAAACCAAATAAAGCTCCATTATTCAGGGATTGAAGGGGATTTTTCGAAATATCTAAAATCGAAAGTAATGATAAACTACGTGCCGCACCTTTTTCGATATTATTAATTTTATTATTCGATAACCAAAGACGTTTTAATCTTGGTAAACCCTCATAAGATTCTGATTTTAAATTTGTTAGGGAATTATTCTTTAGATAAAGATCCTGAAGATTTGGCAAATCAAAAGTACCTGGCATAATATTTGTTATTTTATTTCCATCCAATGACAATGAAAATCTTGGTACTTCAATGAAACTACCCGGTTGTAGTGATTCAATTCTATTAAAATCAAGATGAAGGAAATTCAACGATTTTGGTAATTTAGCAAACATTTCTGGTGTTATTCTCTCAATTTTATTAAAAGCAAGATTCAAATTTCTCAATTTTTCCAAATTATCAAAAACGCCATTTTCAATATTTGAAATTGAATTATGATAAAGGTAGAGAGTTTTCAGATTTTTGAGAAATTTAAAAGAACCAGGAGCAATGTTTGTTAAAGAATTTCTCGTCAATATTAAAATTTGAAGTGATTTTAATCCACGGAAAATGTCAGCTTGTAAATTGGGAATATTATTTCTCGCTAGATTAAGATAAATGAGATTTGTGAGTTTTGTAAAAATACCATCGGGAATAGATTGAATAAGATTACGATTGATAACTAATTCCGTTAGTGTTGTGGGTAAATCTTTTATGAAATTAAGATTTTCCAATCGATTTCCACTTAGATAGAGACCATTCAATCGGGTATTTTCGAATGTTTTGTCTTCAATTTCTTCAATTAAATTATCCTTCAAACTCAATACTTTGAGATGACTATTGTCAATAATTTGCCGCGTTAATTTTCTAATTCTATTTTCCACAAGGCTCACGTATGCCAAATCACCCGGAAGATCGTTTAGAAGTTCCTTGGAGATTTCTTGAATTTCGTTATTTGAAAGATCAATTCCGTGAATTGGCAGCTTTTGCAGTCTGTACCAATCCTCGTCGAAATCCTTAATTCCCAATCCACGAAGATTCACCTGCGACAAATTTAGGAATATTTTTATTTACAGAGATAAAAATTTATAAATAAAAAAATTTTTGGTTAGAAAAAAATCTCACCTGTCGTTCTTCGTAGTCAATTTTAACTTCACTGCATCTCGCTTCAAGTTTCTCGTTCTTATCAATAATTTCAAGACTAATGACAATTCCATCCTCCATACAAAGTTTAATTAAAATATTTTTATCAAGTTGTGGTTGTGTTTCTTTTGGAAAGACATGCATTTTTGAACCAGAAAAAATTTCCCTCTCCAATGTATCCAATTTTCTAGCCTCAGCTATTTGCTCTTCCTCCTCCTCCCAATCGTCATCAAATCTTGCCTTCTCAATTTCCACAAAACTATCTTTCTCCTTTAAAAATGGATTTTCAAATAGCATTGTACTCAAACTCCAAAAAATATTACCCCTTGTATAAATATTGACATTATTCGGTAAACCAAAAAATTGTCCTCTTCGTAAATGTCTCAATGGATTACATGAAATATTTAATTCTTTCAAATTGTCCAATCCAACGAAAATATTGTCAAGAGTATTTATTTTATTCTCAGCTAGGGACAAATGCTCGAGAGTTGAAAGATTTGAGAAAATAAATTCTGGCAGTGAAGTGAGAAGATTATTTCTCAATGTTAGACATTTGAGATCTTTTAGCTCGTCAAATGCTTCTCTTTTGATGAATTTAATTTGCATGTTGGAGAGGTCCAGATTCTCAATTGGTTGTTGACCGGGTATTACTCTCTCAAGGGTGCCATTTTTAAGATCCAATGTGTAAGTACTTTGATGATGTTCTTCTGCCCTTGTCATCATAGGCAATAGGAATATCAGCGAGAAAAGTAACATCTGTTCAAGAAATAGAAAATTTTAATATAAGAATCATTTTTCTATTTATATTTTAATATGATGATTATTTGATAATTAATATTTGGAATAGCCAAAATTCGATTACATACCATTTTTTTTTTAAAGAAAGAAAAATTGTACAACGGGCAACGCCTTTTTCAAGTATTAACTAACCTTTTGTATTTTCTTGTCGTCTATGGAATGGATTTCTAATAAGTATTCTGAATCCGTCTGCCTTGGACAACGATCGAACAAAGACTGTGTGGTACTTCTATATATTCCTGGTTTCAGGATACTCTGGGACAAGACACATCAAAAACAGGTCTTACAACCTTCATTTTTTATGTATACGAATACAAATGCAATATGCAAAACACGAACAGGGCTTATCGAGTCAACGAAATAAAATTGAATTTTTTTCGATAAAAACAGAATCAAACCTGTTGCTTCGCTCTTAGGTTTCTTTCCAATTTGTATAAGGATTTTAGATTCATAAAATTCTTTCTATACTTAATATAGGTGAAATGAAAAAAATTTGATAATCCACATTTTTGCTTTCAATGTTCCAAGGTGGGATAAAATAATAAAACAAGTATTTAATCGAAAAAAATAAATAATAATTTTGCAAATAAAAAAAAATTTCATTCGGCGCTATTTAAGCTAAATAAAATTTATTTAAAATAAATATTTATTAAAATAATAAAATTTATTATTAAAATATATTTTTTTTTAATATTAGGGTTCCGTACTCGGTTCGGAACCCTATTAATATCGGTTTTTTTGAAATCGTGTACCCCCCCCCCCCTAGCGGCCACACAAATTTATCTAGAGAGCTGAAAATTAGTACACATATGTATTTTCGCGTGTAGATTACAGGAAAAATATAGCGAACTTGATTGGAATTGATTAACATAGCGTTGTCAAGGAAAAACCATGAATTTTTACGAAAAATGCCTAAAAATGACTATGTACCCCCCTCTAGCAGCCACATCTTTTGACATAAAGAGCTCAAATTTGGCACACTTACGTATTTTTACGTGAAAATTACAGGAAAAATATAGCGAACTTGATTCCGATCAATTTACATAGCGTTGTCAAGGAAAAATCAAAAATTCCGAAAAAAATAATTTATTCTCCCTAGCGCACACAATATTCAACACAGACAGTTCATATTTAGTATACAAATGTATTTTTACGGGAAAAATACAGGGGAAAAAAAGCGGTCACCATTAGAGTTGATAATTAACTTTTTATCAAGTTTTTCAAGAAAAAATGACAATTTTAGGAAAAAAATGTATTTTTCCAGCAAAAACGAACAAAATTTTATTTAAAGGAAATTAAATTTATATATTTTAACATATTTTTACGTGTAGATTACAAAAAAAATATAGCGAGCATGATTGGAGTTAATTATCATAGCGTTGTCAAGGAAAAACCATGAATTTTTACGAAAAATACCTAAAAATGACTATGTACCCCCCCCCTAGCAGCCACATCTTTTGACATAAAGAGCTCAAATTTGCTACACTTACGTATTTTTACGTGAAAATTACAGGAAAAATATAGCGAACTTGATTCGAATCAATTTACATAGCGTTGTCAAGGAAAAATCAAAAATTTCGAAAAAAATGATTTATTCTCCCAAGCGCACAGAATATTCAACCCAAATTGTTCATATTTGCTGTAAAACTGTATTTTTGCGTGAAAAATACAGGGAAAAAATGTAAGCACGATTGGAGTTGATGATCAATTTTTATCAAATTTTTGAAGAAAAATGATAAATTTAAGAAAAAAATGTATTTTTCCGCAAAAAAGTTGATCTAAAGTGATTCAAATTTATATATTTTGACGTATTTTTACGTGTAGATTACAAAAAAAATATAGCGAGGATGATTGGAGTTGATTTTTCTGGGTCTGTCAAGAAAAAACTGATAATTTTAGAAAAAATCATGAATTTTCTCCCAATAACGGAACAAATTTTTTCTAAAGGGCTTCAAATTTACTATTTTTACGTATTTTTATGTGTAGATTATAGAAATAATTTAATAAACATGATTGAGTTTATTTCTTCAGTCGTTACAACTCTAAAATAAAAAAAATCGGACAAGTGCGAGTTACACTCGCACTGAAATCGAGGGTTCGGTACTCGAAGCGAACTTATTTGGTATAAAAACAAATGTTTAAAAAATATGTGTTGTATGTCAAATAAAATAAGTGATACAAAAAGGAACAATTTTGTAAAATTCAAGAAAATTGTTCCTCTTCGTATCACTTATATTAGTTGTCATACAACACATATTTTTTAAACATTTGTTTTTATACCAAATAAGTTCGCTTCGAGTACGGAACCCTCGATTTCAGTGCGAGTGTAACTCGCACTTGTTTATTTATTAAAATAATAAAATTTATTTAGTTCTGAAAAACTTAGTTTCGAACAGTGAATTATCGTTTCATACTAGTAAAACATTTTGTTTTGACATTTATATGCTCAATTAAAATAGAAATTAAATCTCTTTTTCCACTGTTGCAAATTAGTTTAATAAGAAAATTGATGTTCATATAAGAATCATCAGCGCGCGAATATTAAACGTCATATATTTCTCTAAAATGATTTATTTACTTTTGCGAGATTTGAATATACGTTTAGATATAATTCGATATTTCAGTAAATTACACCTTATAAAATTCCCTTTACCATCCTTTCGCGTAACATTAATCAAACAAATTCTAAGCTTTTAAAGGAGTGTTTTAAGTCCTTTCACCGTGTATTTTTCAAATTAGAACAGATAAACGAGACATAAAGATATATGATCCATCATATATAGCGAGAAAGATATGAAGTGATACAAATTATCAGCGAAAGTGGGTAAAGAAGAAATTTAAATTCTCTTATTTAAAAATTTCAAATGTAAATAGAAAAAATTATTTTTAAAATAAAAATTTATAAATTAATAAAAATTAATTTATAATATAAAATTCCATATAAAAGAGATTTATCAATATATTTTTTAAGTATATTTTTTTAGTATATATTTATCATTTGCAATATATTCTTCAAGTATATATATGCAAATACATTTCTCGTGCGTAGAATTTTCTATAGATAGTTATTGAAGCAGCACGACCTTTTTTTTTATTTCTATCTTCAGGACCTCTTATGTTCCAGAAATCTTGTCTCGTATAGAAATTCGCAACGTTTACTTTTCAATTTTTTTCTCCGTCTACCTTAACATTTTTTTTATTATCACTTTATTGTCTCCTTCCTTTCAAATATATTTTTCCGCATCATTTTATAATTTCTCCATTTTTTCCAAGAAGTGTCAGTTACTCAACTTTTTACGAAAGTTTTTTTTTCACAATAAAGTTTATTCCCATGAAAACTTTTATTTATTATCAAATATTTTCTTTCAGCATAATATCACATTTTGCAACAAAAAAATAAATGATATTTATTTTTCCAATTTCTTTTTTGGTCTTGTGTATTGGTCATTATATATAAATATGTTTCTTTTGGTCAATTAATGATTTTTTCTTATTGAGGTCATTAGCTCTCTTCATATTCGAATGAATATACGAATTAATAATAATACGTATTCAAAGGCGTTGATGGGCGCTCAAGTAAATAGAAAAAATTAACTGACCGTGAATGAATGGCAAATAATTTTTTCTTTTATTTCCTTAAGGGAGAGAGAGGAGGGGATAAAAAATATAAATAGTTACGCGAATTAATCGAGTTTTATATTAGAAATGCAAATATTACGAATAAGAACACAGAAAAAAAATATAATTATGCATAAGAGCTCGAAAATATACATATATGCCGGTCGAGGAAACAATGATCTGATAATAATACAAAAGGATTGTGCCAAGATGGTGTTTTATTGGTAGGCGAATTGCCAGATAATTGAGTTTGATGGCGATAACGGTTTGGAGTTTTCGCTTCTTAGCTTATAAGTACGAATCGCGATTTGTAATCGTTTCCATCATTTTCACGAAGCATATAGAAAGTCACGGTTTTTACATTCTTGATTCAACTTTTCACTTTCATTTGAAATAAAATAATATTTTTAAAAAAAATTTACAAAACTTACGGGGCACATGATTATCCCATAAAAATCATTAGTATGAATTTTCAATTTCAACAATTTTATTAGATATAATTATTTTTTAGACGAATTTTCATTTTTTGAATTAACATTTTGTCAGAATTTCTTTTTTAAAGAATTTTTAATTAACAGAATTTTTAGACACTGAATTTTTATTTGGTAGCATTTTTAAAACGCCGAATTTTTATTTGTCCGAAATTGCAACTGGCCGAAAAAAACAATCGATTTCGGCGCGATTTTTAAAATCCACCAATCACAATTTTCTTGACAACATTTGATTGGTGGATTTTAAAAATCGCTCCGAAATCGATTGTTTGTTCGGCCAGTTTCAATTTCGGACAAATAAAAATTCGTCATTTTAAAAATTCTATACCAAATAAAAATTCATTACACAAGAATTATGTTAAGTAAAAATTTGTTTTATAAAGAAATTCTGTCAAATGTTAATTTAAAAAATAAAAATTCGCCTAAAGAATAAATTATATCTAATAAAAGTGTTGAAAATAAAAATTTTAACTAATGATTTTTATGGGATAATCATGCGCCCCTATATAATTTATAGAAAAAAAAATGTTGTCCATAAAGTGTAAAATATTTCTGCAAGACACTAACCAGGAGTTATACAAGAAAGTCTTTATAAATTGTTATAATGGTCAAAGTAAGTCGTGAAACAATATTTTTAAAAATCGAGAAAACCGCATCTTTATAAGAGATGTGGAAATATAAAAGGAACAGAGTTAGGTATATATATATATATGTATATCGCGATAGGATGTCGCTTGTAAATTGTGCTTATACTTCCGGATATAGCAATGATCAATGACACGATTGTTCACTGGGAATCGATTACGCGATCAATAGAGCACGACCGAATCATCATTACGGTTCTACAAAACGCCGTACAACGAACGCGTAAAGAAGACGGGCCCCGTCACGGATGCCTGATGAACGTACATTACTATTATATATATATTTTTTTTTACTCTTCATCTCTTCTATACTTTGTACACTTCTCACAGTTCGATGTACTTGTGGAATTTTATCTTTTGTACAAAACTGTATATGATCCAATTTTATTTATGATTCTACCCTTTAAAACAATTGCCATTTTCCGGGTTCACAAATGCACATAACCCATCACGTTCCAATTTCATTTAATGCCGAATACAATTTTTCAATA